TTGATTCTCCACTTACTGTCCTTTAATTGTGATGCATCCAATTTATCTTTTTAGGCTATCAACTCTTAGGGGAAAAGGTTTTTCTTTTTAATTCCGGATGCTGTTCTCATGCCTGCTTCATTTTGCTGCAAAAGAGCCACGTTCAGGTTAAACAATTTTCACACTAGCAAGATGCCACTTTCCTACTGCTAGAATTAATTGCTGTAACTTGTAATGTTTTATACAGCAATATCTGATGTAAAGATGAGTTAGTGGTGACAATATTATGACTAAATGAAGAGTAACAAATAGAGGAATATTCCAGATGTTGTAAAAATGTTCTTTTCTAGTGAGAAAATTGTTTGCTTATCCATACCATGGTAATGCTTAGGCTTTAGTAGCATAAACTGCTCTGCACAACCAACACCGCTTTCAGGATATCACTAGTGCAGACAAAAAGCAGCCAGCCAGGAGGTTCCTTTTTTGCTAGAATTGCAGGTGCTCCATTTTACTGCCATCACCCCCAGGCCTATCCGCTGCCCCAAATTCCCATTTACGCTCTCCTGCCACGTATGAATTGGCCAAAGCGCACGGCCCTTTGCTCCCAGATATTCAAGCTCGACGATTCAGAGGTGATAAAATGTGACAGGACTTTTCACCGACAAACCAACTGCAGGGCATCCTCCCCAGCAGGCCAGGCAGCTCGAAGAACTGGGTTACAGCGTCGGAAGATAAAACTCAAATGGAGCAGAACATCCATAATACAAGAAATGCGAGATGTTGCTCAGCCTCAAGCACCGTTGGTGCTATATACAAAGACATCCAACTAAGACAGCAACTTTTTTTTTTTTTCTTCCCCCCTTTGGAAGCAGGATTCCTTTTAACTGCCAGTTAAAGACGGTCTCAGCAGCGCGTGAAGAAGAACGGCAACCGCTTATAGCCCCCAGCTCAGGATTCCTTTTAACTGCCAGTTAAAGACGGTCTCAGCAGCGCGTGAAGAAGAACGGCAACCGCTTATAGCCCCCATCTTATTTTCCCTTTACAATTGCAGCGAACCACAGTCAGACAGATAATGAAGGCAGATTTTTGTTGTTGGGTTTTTTTGTTGTTTTTTTTTTAATCCTGGTGTTAGGATACCGCTGGTTATCAGTGTTTGCAGGTCTCGTTGACAGCCAATGTGCCAGCTGCTGCCCCCGCCGCGGGACGTGCCACCCGGCCGGAGGCTCGGACAGAACCCGCTTGGGTGGCTCTGGCATCAGCTGCAGACGAGCCCAGGCTAGCAGTGAAAACACAGCCCCCAGAAGGTCACCTGTCCCCAAATGCTGCCTCTCAAAGGACACCTGCTCTGGATCTTTTTTTCCCCGAGCTGTGCCAAACCAAAAAACTTGCTCGTGTCAAATACACAAAGCCTCGTCCCCTCCGTCCCCTAAGCTTCAGGGTGAGTTTGTGATGCCAGCACAACAATGGCAAAACACCCCTTGGTTGAAGACAACTGGGTTTTCAAAAAATTCAGCCCCTACACCCCCACCAGGATCCCTGTTGAGATTTCTTCCCTGCAAAGCTATGATTTCTAACACACTAAGGTCCCACAGCCACTGCCAAAACTCCTGTTGACTGCAAAAGAGGGTAAACTACCAAGCACAGACCGCAGGATTCCCTATTCCAGCAGAAAGGATGTGCAAGAACCTGCCCCGGGATCTGAAGAAGGTTCCCTCTGAGCAAAACCCCTCCCTGCACGCTGGCCACACCAGTTGGAGGACTGGTTTTTGCTGGTACTGTGAGACATGGCATGCCTGAGACCCCAGGGCTGCGCTCGGAATCACTGGAGCCATGAGAGCACCTGAGGAATTGGATGCATCCAGTTCAATCACAGGGGGCCCCGTGTGTCAAGCCTCACCAGGGTAAGAAGTCTCAGGGACCTGAGATGAGCTACAGGCGTGGTGCTAGACTGTCACGGCCCTTAAATGATCCCACAGAGGAATAAGGGGGTGGAAGCCCCCAATCTATTGCTTCCCTGCTCAGCCGTGCTCAAATGATGATTTGGGAAAAAGAAACGGGGCTGCCCACTCAGTATAACCCACTGGGGAGGGATGGGGAGGGACCCAGCAGCATGGGATAAGGAAAGCTGTGCATTTATTCTCTTGTTGATGATGGATGAACATTGCAAAGTACAAACCAGAATATCTGCTGCTTCTTTGGATAAGAATTTTCTGATCATTACTTAGCCATTCTTTAGAAAAGGAATATGTTTTAAAATAGATGTAACGGTTTATTTTGGGATTTCTTTAACACTTTCTCCCTCTTTCCTTCCACTAAAAAAAAAAAAAAATAATCAAAAGAAACCAAAACCCAAAATTCATAAGTCTGGAATTCACCATTAGTGAAATCACAGTCAAAAGGTGAGTGCCTACGTGTGTCTGCAGTTCTAAGGACAGTGTCTGCACTTTGCAGGGTGTTACCCGTGGCCCAGCAGCAGCCAGTGCAGAGGCACACAAGAACCCAGGAAAAAACTAGAGCTGGGAAAACCTCTTGTTATCTCCTTCCCCACCCATGCAGTGAGGGTAACATCACTTTCCACACAGCGTGCTCTGGAAAATTCAACGAATTTACTAATCAAGGTTGGAGATGTACGGCAGACGGGCAGATGGAGAAAGTCAAGTGATGGTTTCAGCTGGGACTGGAGTTTGGAGGATCATACTTAGCTGAAAGCTTTCCCATGGGGAAGAAGCAGCCTGTTATTTTTCTCTAAACTGTAAAGAAGTTTAGGAGTTTTCAAGTTTTTACCATTTTTTGCCTCTTGCACTCATACGGGGAGGGGGCGGGGGAGCTATGCAGGTTCATATTGCATAACCTTTCTTGATTTTCCTTTGCTTTTCTTGTCTTCACTGCTTAGTATTTGCCTTAAATGCACCTAATATTTATGTCACGCAGCAAACAATGAAGAGAAGGCAACAGAGAAACCAGTGCTGCACCTACAACACTGCTGGCACTCTCTGCTCTGCAAAACACTGGCAGAAACACACAGAGTATTCCATAGCCCAGAAAGGTGAGGAAAAAATCAATTATGAGAAGAGAATGCTATTTCCAAGGATGATGGCTTGGCCCTTAAACTGAAAACTGTTATCTGATACCACTTTTTAATCATATTTTATTTTTTAGCCATGTACAGTATACTCAGCTGAAGGTCATAATAGGAGTTTCTTTTTCTCATCTGATCTCTAGGAAGACCATGAGCAGTGCACAAAGAGGACTTTCTTTTAAACACGAGTCCTGCTCAGCTGAAAGGGAATGACTGCTTAAGCCACTTTATTTCGCCATATATATATATATAAAGACCTCAACTGAACTACTTGGAGAGATTACATATTTGTGTATTACAAAGGCACAGTTCCTCATACATTCTCCTATTAACTGAAAACATACTGGTGATACTTAATGATAGAGTAATCCTTCCACACTCACCTTAAAAAATTTGCTTAATTGGTTCAAACTCAGGTCTAAGACATGGATCTGAATTGTGAAAAAAACATTATTCTAACCTCTCAATCTACTACTATTTTTTGCCTTGGTTGGCTCCCTTACATTTCAGAGAAGACTAGGACTAAATCAGTGACACAGACTGTACCCCCCCAGATTGATGATAACCAGGATATGAACAGCAAGTCCTGAGTCAACAAGACACCCACCGCTTACTACAGGCTAAAAAGAACTTTTCAGCATCCCATAAACTGAAGATATCCAAGGCCACATTAGGACTTTCCCTTAAAGATAGCTGAAAGACATTCTCCAGGTTTCCAAAGCAATGAGCATGTGAGACAGGCCTATCAAGACATGAAACCCTTTTATTCCTAAAAGACACGCCATCAGCCCCTACCCAGCATCCAATTTGCAGCTACTGTGCACATCAAAACAAGGCAAAGAGAAACTATCAAAAGGTAAGGTGAGGGCATCAAGGGTGAAAAAAAATTAAACAAATCCTTCTTGGTGCTGGTGCAACCAGACACAAACAACAAACAGCATGTGAGACTTTTCAGCGGGACTGTTAAAAAAAAAAAAACCACACAAAAAACCACCAAACCAACCCCCCCTCCAGCCCTGAGCTTTCAAAACTTAAGCTTCAGCGATAAGACAGACCTTTCCTGAACTCATCTTGCAGATTAAACACCACCTGAGCTAGTCTTTTTTCTAATGCTGGTTGGACCACAGCTGCTCAGCTCATGCAGACCTCTGCCAAGACGAGCCTGGCAGGCAAGGAAACTCTGTCAGCAAGGCCAGACAAGCTCTGGAGGTCAGCAAGTCTCCCTGCAGGCATCTAAAAAAACAAATTTCACTCTCAGGGTGACCAAATTTTCCAAACCCATGCAAGATATATATATATATAGTGTTTTAGAGCCATTTGAGCCACAGAGCTTGCTAAGCTATAGCTGACCAAAATTGCTCTCAATGAAGCCTCAATCTGTCAAAAAAGATTCTCGGTACTTTGATGGATCGGGACCTGAATGCCCTCTTCTTATCACTGATGGGAAGGTGGCACAGCATAGCTGTTCCTGGAACTCAGAGGCATCACCATGAAAATGTTCATGCCTTGATTTTGAAAAAGCACCTTAAAGTAAGAATTTTTTTTTTTGCCTTTTCTGGACATTTATTGTATTTACAGCCAAATTTATGCCTTTTCTGGACATTTATTGTATTTACAGCCGAAGAATCCCAGATCCTCTAGAGGTATCACCAAAGTCTCACAACAGCCAGCAGAGAGACTGGGATACAGCTAGGACTTGGGACTTGTCCCAGGTCAGAGAAGTTATTTGTGACAGATTCAAAGCTGAATCTAAAATCCCTTGGTGTACAAACCCACATCTTAACTGAAACGCTACCCATTTGTCTGTACCACAGTGCACTGAAGAGCAAATATGATGTTCGGTTTTCATATAAAGGTATATAAAGCCCACAGAGAAAGCAAGGCACAGCACAGTGACAGCAGGGAACAAACAAGTAAAAAATAAAAGGCCAGCATAACTTACGGGAGCTGCGTTGTTTTTCACTGTGACACTGGGAGTTGTGGCTCGTAGTGCCCCGCTCACGCCGTGGTAGTATTTGAAGCAGATCTTTGTTTCAGCTAAAAAAAAAAAAAAAAAAA